AGCCTGTATTTTTTTTTTTACAGTTTGAGCTGGCTGTGGATGCTGTGCACAAGAAGGTGCCCAATCAGCCAGTAGGGCCAAGGAGGGAGGATATTGTAGACACTATGGTTTTCAAGCCTGCTGATGTCATGTTAGTGCACTTCCGCAATGTTGATTTTAACTACGCCACCAAAGGTAATACAGCCTTAAAATAACAATTGAGATGTGATGGGAGGAGACATGAGGGAGAACTTGAATCCTTTCTATCCTGACCTTTCTTTCTGTCATGTGTCTTAGATAAGTTCACAGATTCTGCCATTGCCATGAATTCTAAAGTAAATGGAGAGCACAAAGAGAAAGTACTACAACGCTGGGAAGGGGGAGATAGCAACAATGATGATTACGACTTAGAATCAGATATGGTGAGTAACTGATGAGGCTTGAGTCCTCAATAGAGCTGCTTCACTAAGCTTTGTTACTGCAAAGGTGCTAAAGCATTTATCTGTGATTTCAGTCTAATGGCTGGGACCCAAATGAGATGTTCAAATTCAACGAGGAAAATTATGGTGTGAAGACAACGTATGATAGCAGTCTCTCATCATATACGTAAGTTAATTATTTAGCTGTGTGTGTGCCGTGTGCGCTTTTGATAGGTTATTAAAGTAGAGTCTAAGTTGTTTTTCTTTCTCTTTCACTTAATAAATGAGACTTGGTTAACATACCAGGACTTGTAAGGCTTTGATTTGTTGGCAGAAATCAGTGGTTAAAAAAAGCAGACTCATTGTCAAGATAATTCAGAAGTAATCATCTCAACCCTTTGAATGTCAGTATTTAATAGTTTCATCCTTTATCCTCAGTTCCACCTGTTTATTACAGGATATTGGCAACTACTTTAAAAAATGAAATATTTGATAGCAGCAACAGTGAATATTTTGTGATGAGACATGTCCATTGGAATATTATAATGCTACCCTTGCACTTGCATTCCAGGATTCAATTTAGTTTAGGTGCAGGACTAGGAACTGAGAGACCATTTTAGTCCTTTCTTAGAATGGAAGCCAGTTGGATGACTTTGAGACAGAAATACCCTCTTGCCCAATTCACCTCACAAGGCTGTTGTTATGGGAATAATAATAAGAGAGCATTACGCATGCCTTCTTGAGTTGCATAAAGTAGTGCACAAAATATAGGCAATACAAATCTAATAAATACTGAATGCAGCGAATATCAGGGCTCACGCAAAATGGCCATTTGGACTAAACCAATTCATTTGTACTTGATGTAGTTAATATGCAGCTTGTCTCACTACATTACTAGTTTTTGTTACGCTCCTAAAATTTAACAGTATACAGCAGTAGTAGAAGCCTGTACTTGATTTTTCCTTGCTTGCTAGTTTATTTATTTATAAAAATTATTGGCTGCCCATCTTACCACAGGATAGCTCTTGGTGACTTATATTCATTCATAAAAGATATATATACACACACAAACATAAATAAGTTAAACAAGCCAAAAGTTATCAATTAAACATTAGGGGAGGGGGGACTGTGAATATATGTGTGTGCATGCGCAATATACACACAAATATATATTCAATTATTATTTCTTTTTGTATTAAATGTTTTATAAAATATTAAAAACAAGGAGTAATGGTCAAAAACATTAAAGGAGGAAATTAAAAAATGTTACTCTAAAACATAAATAGTCACCATTCACTTTTCAAACCTTTCTATGTTTGCAAACCACTCTTGCTTTCTTTGCCCTATACATCAGTTTATATGTTCCCTTTGTTTCTTAAATTTCTCCCTTCTGTTTTTTTGAGGCTTACAAATCCAGGGCATTACTTTCTCAGTCTTTCCCTACACTTATTCGTTCTTGCTTTATATATTTATTTTTTATTAGATACTCATTTATTTTCGCTATATAGCGAAGCCACTCAGGGTACTACTACTTTCATACTTCTTTTTGATTTTTGTATCAAGTCTGCTTGTTCATTCTTGACCCTATCTTTTTTTGCTTTACTACATTCAAACATTCAAAGAGCCTTGATGGTGGCACAGGGGTTAGCATGCATTACTGCAGATTTAGACTTAGGCTAACTTTATTGTCATTTTAAATTTACACTAATCGGTACATTAAAATGAAATTTCATTGCATATAGCTCTCAAAGGGCCCCCATCTCCAATATATACTACATAAACATGACAAAATATAAATAAATAAAAATGATGCACATACCCACATATATTATATGACACAGAGAAACAACACAATCTAGACTGGATGTAAAAACGAATCTTGCGAGTTTGCCAGATGGATGCATGGGGAACAAAGCTGTTACCGAATCAAATAGTCCTGCTAGAAAAACATACTTCAAAACCTCCTCCCAGCGGAGAGCAACATAAACAAGACTGTAAAATGTATTTGTGGGATCTCTAACAATGCCTTGAGCTCTGAGCACATAGTACTTATAAGCAGTATCCAGTACTTATAGGAAGTGAACTTCCTATAATCTTCTCAGTTGTCTTTACCACTCTCTGTACGGACCTTCTATCTGAGGCACTGCAGCCACCAAACCAAACAGTGATTCAGTTTGTTACTTCTACTGCTGTTTGGCAGTTCAATTCTCATCAGCTCAAGGTTGACGTAGCTTTCCATCCTTCTGAGGTCGCTAAAATGAGGACCCAGTCGCTAAAATGAGGACCAGATTGTCGGGGGCAATATGCTAACTCTCTAAACCGCTTAGAGAGGGCTGTAAACAACTGTAAAGTGGTATATAAGTCTAAGTGCTATTGCTATCTTTCAACAAATATTTATTCCTCTTAGCAGATATAGTACACTATATATTACCCATCTTTTTATCAGCATTTATAAATTTTAATGTTTTTCTATCTCTGTCCCCTTCTTTGGAGATATACTTCTGTTTACTTTTTTATTTTTATTAATTATCAAAATATAAAATACAAAAATATACTCCTAAAGTGAACAGTGTCTCCTGGCTGTAATATTTTGCCATTTATGTGTAAATGGTCATTCAATCTTTCCTTTAGAGTCTCAGACTACAAAATGGCACTGTCTACGATCAAAGTACATGTACATTCATATCTCCAACCAACCCTAGCTGATCATTTCAGTTTCACTTTTGACGTATGATGTCATTCCCATTTAAATTTTTAAGTACTCTTTCCAAAATTCATTAACTTTGGTTTTATGTTAGTAAAGCACCAATTCATACTGTTTGACATATTAGTTCTTTTGGTCATAATTAAATATGCATCTTCACTTCATACACATATCCATCAACACCTCACAGAATCAGATCAGTTACATTACCCCCCCCCCCTTTTCTTTTTTTTAGTTTCACAAATACAGCATACCTATTTTTCTTCCTTCAGTTAATTTATTTTCATCTTATATTCCAAATCAGAATCTTCATGTTTCATGGTCAGCTAATGACCTCATGTACCAGTTATGCCTTTCATCATTTAACACTTTCACATAACACCTTTTTATTGAAAGAAGGAGCAAATTGTGTTACCATCTGTTGTCTCTGTTAATGGTAAGAACTCTACTGGTCAGTTTGGGCACATTTTGGCCAGTATGTCACCAATACCTGCAGTAGCGTGTCACCAACCAAATCCAATTTTACCCAAAATGCAATGTGTGGGTTTATGCAATAAATTAGTTGGAATTAATTCTGGATTTGAAATTTACAAATTCTAGGAAGTTCAATCAAAAACTTGGAACTGTTGGGATCTGAGATGTTTTTTACCATTTTACAAATTAAGAGGTGTTGGTGCATCTACAATAAAACAAGTTTATTTTGTGGTTTTGGATAGATCAGTAGAATTTATTTGCTGTATTTTGTTTCCCCCCCTCTTCCAATGGCCCAATTTTTCACGATAAGAGTCCCTCTTGAAAAAGATAATACAGAGGCTTTTAGGCAACGAGAGGCCAGAGCTGCACAGCTAGCACGAGAAATTGAGTCAAGCCCACAGTATAGACTGCGTATTGCAATGGAAAATGATGATGGGCGCACAGAAGAAGAGAAGCACAGTTCAGTGCAAAGACAAGTGTCTGGAAGAGCCAGCCCTAATTTGGCTTCCAGGTAAATTTGCAGCATCGGTGAAATGAATGCAAATATGTATTTAAATCTATTCTAATACCAATGATATCAATTATTTTATAATTTGTATATTAGCTATTCTGCATAGCTCAGGCAGCATTTGTTAGGGTGATTCAAAACTAACACAAAATAACCTTTGGATAGACATATGCCTCTAGTATAAAACAAGTACTAATTGTGGCTAATTTACCCTATATATTTGGGGAGGAAATAACCTTTTTTTAAAAAGTTTTTTTTCCTACAAACATCGTTGTGTGAACAATGTGGGACCAGAGTTACATTTTAGTACAAATAAAATAATACTCTTCATATTTAACACAATTAAGTATCTTATAGACTTTTAGTAGTAATACACATATTTTGTTGAATTATAATCTTTCCTTCATTATTCAATGTTTCAGTATATTATTTTTATGCTAATCTCCATATTCTTGATTTCACTCCTTTTACTACAGATAAAATAGCAATAATCATATTTGTTATGTTTAACAGACTTATATAATTCTAAGAGTAATACACAGATTTATATTGAATTATAATCTTCCATTGTTCCCCTTTCTAATTTTTAGTTATGCCACTGTTATATTTAAAAAATATCCCCTTTCTAATCACATTTTAAAGCAAATAAAACAAGTTAGTTATATTTTACAAGTTATATAATTATATAATTCTTATTATATAAGGGTGGGACGGGGACCACGACTGAGAGCTGCCAGAAATCGTGCTTACCAGCTGGGGATCTCCATAACTGATAACCTAAAGCTACTTCTCAAATGATTCGATATCCAATGTCCAAGAGACTTTGTATCCCAAAATTAAATTAATCATCTTCCTCTAGTTAGTCCAACAATGAACCTTCATAACTTCCTCTGCCAATTCAATCTTACTTTGAAGCTTTTAGGGGTCTATTTAGTAATTAAGGTTTCTTGATCTCATACTTGAATTTCCATAAGTCAACTTTTTCCAGGATTTGGGGGCTATGTTGTACCTTCCTTTGTCAGCAGGTGGCACTCTTAAATCAGATTTCAATCTTATTCTTCTTTATACAATTTTACTGTAATACTCCAAAATTTAAATGTGGTATTAGCTTTTTATATAAATAGTTCCAGCATTTTAAAATGCCTATCCAACTCCAACTCCTGTCCATTTTAAAAATCCAATCTTCTGTATTTTAACATTTTTTTTATTTTCTTCCTTTAATTGTTTTGTCTTATATTTCAAAGTTCTAAAGTTTTGCTCAAAGTAGCTAGGTCGCTGCCACTTTAAAAATAATTATTAGTCTCTCTTTCCTGAATATTCTTTTGGGGTTACACTTTGAATTAAAAAGGATTCTTCTCACCCAGTTCCGAACATTGCTCACCAAATCCACACCAGCACTCTTCTTGGATGTTAAGCTGTCTCTGGCTTTGTGACAGCCATCTTAGGCTGTCTCTTCTCTCGATGTGGCATAGAGAAAAAAAGCTGCAATCTCTCCTGGAACCTCACAGGACGGGGAGGAAATAACCTTAAGGTCCCACTGTGACTTAGAAACTGGCTCTTTGCTTCATATGTTCCCTTGAATTTTGCATTCAGCTTCTCAGATGAGGAAAGTTGTTGTGGTTTCTTCCTTTATTGTTCTTAGAAATTACCCAGCTATTTCTTTTTACAGAGAGGGAAAATATATCCCACTTCCCCAACGTGTCAGAGAAAGCTCCAGAGGAGGCATACGCTGCAGTAGTTCTAGAGGAGGGAGGCCAGGCATGGGCTCCTTGCCATCCCGTGGGAGTTCACATCATTCAGAAAGCAACACTGGCTCTGCTCCAGAGCAAAGAGGTATCAATGGAGGTAAGGCTGAGGATCTCTGGTTTAAAAGAGAAATACTTGAATGGATTGAAACAATCACT